GTTCCCTCCTTCAGGGAACGAGGGTTACACAAGTAACCGAGACGTGATGCACCATTCAACAGCAGTTGGTGAAGTCAAAATAATATTATCAGTGTTGGGGGTAATGCATTACAAGTAATACGAGTTACGTAATCATATTACTTTTTTCAAGTAACCAGTAAAGTACCGCTTTACTTTTTAATTTACAAGAAAATATCTGAGTTACTTTTTCAAATAAGTAAGGCCAGTTACTTTGTTTTCTCATGTATTGACCGACAGCTCTCCTGTACTCATGTTGAGCGAAATCAGGATCGAGTGCAGAGGTGTTGTGTGCGCTGTGTGAACATGATGTTACTGTAGTTCTAGATTAAATGTGAACATGTATTTATTAATCTTGCACAAAACAGATTCAGTATTCCTCAAAATGAATAAAATTAGTGAAACGCAAACTCAGAATATGACGCAAACCTGCAATAATTAAATATGGTAATTAACACAAATATTCTTTATGTATTTAATCCCAGTTTATTAAACAATGTCTTTACTGCTGACCTTCGATGATCCAATTCAACCATTCTAATAAGCAAAAATGACTTTAGATAAACATAACATTTGTATTTGTAATGTTGAACTTTCTTCTCCTGCGTCCTATTCTTCATGCTATAGATACACGTTTTTTAGCTGCGCCCTCTACTGTACAGACGTGAATTTCCATTTCCTTCAGCCTGAGGCTTATTCATTTCACTTTTGGTGTAAAAGGGCCTTTACATTTGCCAAAATATAATTTTTTATATAAAAAAAACAAACAAGTAAGCCCAGCCCAGACGAGAACAAGTACAGTAATAGTAACGTAACATTACTTTCCATAAAAAGTAACTATTTAACGCAATTAGTTACTTTTTAGGGAGTAACACAAAATTGTAATGCATTACTTTTAAAAGTAACTTTCCCCAACACTGAATATTACTAATTGTAAGTGTCTTTTAAACCCTTTTACTTTACTTTAATATTAAGAATGATTGTGGACAAAACAGTATCTGTCAGGTAGTTATCTGTGCAATAGCTTTTGTCCTGCACCTTTAAATGGTCACTGTTTCGAAACACACGTGCACACATTGTTAATTTTTTATTTGACCCTTTTATTCTGCATTATGACACATTTTGATTTAATTACTTCTTCTTTTGTTTTTATTAGCCCCCTTTCCTAAGCTTGCAGATGCTGATCCCGTCAGAATGAGAGTCCAAACAGCTGATAAAAACATCACAATAATCCACACCACTCCAGTCCATCAGTTTACATTTTGTGAAGCCAAAAGCTGCGTGTTTGAGAAACAAATCCATCATTCAGGCATTTTAACTTTAAACTGTTGCTTCCGACTAAAATATGAGTCCATAATCCATAACACTTTTTCTCGTCTAAAGAAAGATTCCAAGCTCATGATTGGTCTGTCTTGATAGGTTTATATAGTATTGTTAAAAATCAGTTTGGAGAAAATAAATGGGATTTGCCAAATTGATAAACATTCGATCAATATAGTCATTAAAAGTGCTATTGCAGTTTAGGGTAATTCAGGTGAACTAATTCCCTTTTTATGTCATTTTACAGCCTGTCTAATAAGGTGAACTATTCCTCCAGATATAAATAATGCAAATTATAATTGCTTCTGACTAACCCGTACACAAACTTGACCCCTATCCCTACAATTATGTTATGACGAACAACTTTTCCGTAAGTTTTTACAGAATTAATTAAAGGGGTCATAGGACAATCAAACTATCGTGGGAGGAGCCTGTATGTGTGACGTCACACAGACAGGCATCTGAGATCGGCTCGATTTGAGAAAGGGGAAAACATTTAACCAGATTAAAATGTAAAATTTATCATTATAGGGTGGTTGTGTACACACACTGCCAACACACATTTCAGTTCAAACAACTTGTAAAAGTGCATGTAGCATCCGATGACCCCTTTAACTTCTGGAGACATTATCCATCATTCACCTTAAAGTATGGCTAGTTTACAAGTAAACGCACATATAAACTCTAACTTGTTCGACGCCTCGGCTCCGTGTCTCGTCTTGTGTTTCTGTATTTTAAGCTTTTCAGCTTCTAGGCATAAAGCCTGTACATAAATTATAGTAATACCAGCAAATGATGTGGAGATTATTGTGTGGGAAATGAAGAGAAAGTCTGGCAGAATTTGAAATTATTTCCAACTTTTATTTTAAATGCTCTCTGAAGTATTTGATATGTTTTGTATTTTTTAAAAATAGCATTCCTGTGCAACTTTCACTACAGTTTTAAATGTGTAGACAATCTACAGTAGGTGAGCAATTAATTTAACTGCATTACAAATAGCCATTTTATCATTAAATTGCATGCATTACTGTTTTTGTATTCATGTTTTAGGGTGATGAAGAAACTTTCTGTTCATATAAAGTTACAGGTTCACTGTAAGGTTGAGTGATATAGCTAAACCAACTGTATCATTATTCAGCTTTTTGATGATATTTAGTATATTCACTACTGGATATATATATTATTATTATTATTATTATTATTATTATTATTTCTGCAGTTTAGCGCCATCTGCTGTCAGAGAGTGAAAGTGCGCTTTCATCCAGAGCGTCTCTCACATGTTCCGCCATGTGCTTCTCGTCTGCGCTTATTTACATCAGAGTGCACGGGTCTTTCATGCAGCATACAGCGGTGTTGTGCATTTTGACCAGTTGATGGGAAAAGTATTCTTAAAATGCATTCAAAATTCTGAATAATTTGTAATATATAATTATTAACGGTATTTAGAAGTGCCCACGATAACAATATCGTGCATATCCATTACCGTGGTATATCGCATTACCGAATACCGGCACAAGTCTATTTGAGGGTCAGTATTAATCCAGTCAGTGTATTTACTGTAAGACGCTTGAATAAATAGCATAAAAACATATCGTAAATTCTTGATATACCTGCAATATCATCAATATCAGACAATTGCTGTATTTTCTTTAAGACTACCTTTGCATTGATGCAATGTTAATCATAGAAAAGTCATTTTAGCTATTAATATATATTTTTTTGCAGAATGCTGCTTTTGTAAATATTATTTGCATCAAGAGTTTATACCTCTGTTTTGAAGTCTGTATGTCAATACTTGCAAAGCCAAAGTGTAGATGTGTTTTCACACTAATAATGATGGTGGAGAAACATCTGAAGTCATATCAGCTGCACATCAGTAAACTGTCCCCTCAAAATGATTGTCTCTTTTAAGCAATTGAATGCATTAACTGGATACTGTAGATACAGACTACATTCTTTTTTCACAAAATAAAGCAATAGTGTTTTAGAAGTGCGGGTCCATCAAATAATGAAGGTTTTGCATGTTGAGGTCCTCATGCAATTAATAATTTCCATTGAAAAAACTTTAACTTCTGCCATTTATAGTGCTATATGTATTTATAACTAAATGTGTAAGAAAAATGATTTTCAAATCATACATACGGTTTATTATTATGCATATTTGTTTTGTATGGATTATATCTTCACACTCAGATGGTTTGATTTTGAAAGACGAGTGATTGTTATCATGCTAATATTTTCACAGTTTATTAAAATGTTCATGCCGACTTACATTACTGGAATAATATGTCTACTGTGTTTGGATGTTTCTGTAAATTAACTTGAATGCACTATCACTATATTCTCTTAAGTCTGTACACTCTAAAAAATGCTGGGTTGTTTCAACCCAACTTTGGGTCAAATATGGACTAACCCAACCGCTGGGTTACATTTTTACATTAAATTTTTAACCCAAAAGTTGGGTTAGTCCATATTTGACCCAAAGTTGGGTTGAAACAACCCAGCATTTTTTAGAGTGTATGGTGTGATTTTGGGATCTTTTATCTGTATGCTTTAAATATATATATATAAATTTTTTTTTTTGTGGGGGTGGGGCTATGACAAGCATTTCCTTCATTTGCACTTGTATTTCATGAACTGAGAGAACTGGGTATAATTAGACTTTTCTGAAGATTTTGTTCCTGCTATTTCTTCTACAGTGAAATAAAAAGCTCTGCTGTATGAATATGGATGTGTCCCTTGATGAAGTATATCTCATACCATGTTTCTGTAATTATCAGGGGGAAAAAATGCACAGTACATAGTCATATATCAGTCTGACATAAGATACAGTTGGCTGAATAAATGTGATTTTAACAGTAAATAAAAAAGCTCTTGTGGATGTAGAGTGACAGTTCAGGAAAAAGCTTGAGTCTTGAGGTTTAATGCCCAAATCATTTTTGGGGCCAAAGTATAAATATTTTTGTGAGTAAATACTAATGTTATCAGTGCAAACATCCTCAAATACGTCCTCAGATTTGTTGATAATAATAATAAATGGTGAGTTGCTATACAAGCCCACCATAGAAAGTAGTTAGCTAGAAACTATTTATATAAGAATAGAAAACAAGTACAAGACAATGTAAACTTTTGTGTGAAGGAAAACAAAAAAAAACAATAGGTAGTCTATTAAAAGAATCTAGTAGTATAAGTAGATATGAAGTAGTAAGTGCAATTTTTTAGTTGTGTGCAAATCTTTCCTAATACAAATGATGTTAAATAGATTATGTTAAAGTGGTCATCGGATGCCCATTTTCCACAATCAAACTAGCGTGGGAGGGTCCTGTCTGTGTGACGTCACACAGACAGGCATCTGAGATCGGCTCGATTTGAGAAAGGGGAAAACATTTAACAAGATTAAAAAAAAAACACTGGGTGGATTTTTATCATTATAGGGTGGTTGTGTACACACACTACCAACAACTTGTATCAAACAACTTGTAAAAGTGCATGTAGCATCCTATTACCCCTTTTAAATGCTCCCGGCTGACCTTATGTAGCTCTGCCCTTTTCGGCACTGCGCACGTTGTCTTCTGTCTTCCGTCTGTATTTCCACAGCTTGAAGGGAAATTCGTACGAATTTATGAATGAACCGTGTACACACACTACCAACAACTTGTATCAAACAACTTGTAAAAGTGCATGTAGCATCCTATTACCCCTTTTAAATGCTCCCGGCTGACCTTATGTAGCTCTGCCCTTTTCGGCACTGCGCACGTTGTCTTCTGTCTTCCGTCTGTATTTCCACAGCTTGAAGGGAAATTCGTACGAATTTATGAACGAACCGCTCGTTATAAATCTACTCACGTTTGTTATGACATCTGCTTCGAACATCACAGTGCACATGATAACTTTCGTTAACTCTACAATAAGTAAATACACTTTACCTGCTTAAACAGTGATGCTATAGAGCAGGGGTGGCGAACGTCGGTCCTGGAAAGCCGCAGCCCTGCAGAGTTTGTGTATTTGGTGTAATGAAATGTGTTTATGCGGTTTAAGGTTCAAAAAACATTATTTTCCACATAATGTTTCCACATAATGTGCATTATTGTTTCTCCTCTATGCCCGCCTTTCTGAAACGTGTCGATTTTTACGAAGCTCATTGGTCTGAAAAGCGAGGTGTGCTGTGATTGGCCAGGTATCCAGTGCATTGTGATTGGCCGAATACCTCAAAACAATACTACAGCGAGAATAAAAGTTACGCCTTCTTTCTTTGCGTGAACATTTGGGCGGCGTTATGCAAATCTTCCTACGTTGGTGACGTAGACATGTGGGGTGTGTTAGAACGAGCCGTTTTAGGTAGGCGTGGTTGACTCTTAACTTTTATAAAGAATATCTCTTTGGATTTGAGACTTTAGTCTTTGCAACTTTACAGATCTTCTTTATGCACCAAGAGCTTGTAACACTCCAAAGAGAAAGGAAAAATTGAAATAGCATCATATGACCCCTTTAAAGACAAAATTCTAAAGATGGCTGCTCAGTGCTCACTTCTTTCACTGGCGCGAAAATGTACGTACTGTTGGCCTAAAAGCGTCAGCGAGCGGACCGCGCTTTTAACCCAATCAGAAACGCTCACTGCCTGTCAATCATTTTATATATAGATCAGTGGTTTGCTGGCTCGTTTTGCGGGCGGGGTTTGTTAAGTAGCTAAGTGTGGCAAAAGTTAGCTAATAAGCTAGTTACTGAGCATCTTTTCTGAAGTTGTCGTTTTTTGGGTATAGAGTAGATCCAATCGTTCCTGTAAACTTGAAAAAACAAGGGTGAGTTGCTTAAATTGTTATTTTGATGGTTTCACAACATCGGCCGCAACAACTTGTGGTCATGTCTGTATTTCATACGATAAGTCAATATAGTAATTATCGCGACAGGCCTATCATCAACTGCATTTTTTCCCTCTTCTCGTATATATAACATGGCAGCCCAAATTAAAGGTCACCACAGGCCAACTTTGTCCCGCGGGCCCTAGTTTGGGCATCTCTGATGTAAATAAAGTGAATGAGGAGGCTGTCAAATTGACAAAAAAGGCACCATAAAAGTACATCGGAAGTACATCAGAGTTTGTAAACTTCCAGGTGTTACATGCCTATTAAATATATTTATATAGGTTCTCCATTAAAACGAGAGAGCGTGTTGGCTCGATATTTAGTGTTTTTTTTTTTGGTGAACAGATGGTTTGTAGCATCAGCTGACAGCTCAGAGAGAGACCTGCTCCCAGGGTGGACTGCATCTCTGGCACCGGTGCCGTTTTCTCCTTTTTGAAGGACTAGAGACGAGCGGTCCCAGGGTGCCTGACAGTGCTGGATAATTGACACATTTCCTCAAGGCTTTGGTGACTCCCGTCTTCTGTCAGTATCGTGTTAGATACGGTGAGGTAAGCAGAAGTGACACACCGGGCCAGTTTAGAGCGCTGAAGTTCGTTCTCCTCAGGGATTATGGGGAAGATCATTTGAGTGGAGTTCAAGCTTCACATACGCAGAACTCTGAACTCTTGTTTGTTATACTGACAGAATGATTGACGCCATTTGACGCATGGATATTCTGTTTAATTGCAGTTGTTTTCCCACATGAATTGTGTTTGATTTGCAGCATTCGCTTGCATGTCAGCTTGACAAATAGCATTTTAACTGTTCATGAAGTGTGTTTCTCAAAGGGACAGTGTGGTATTATATGGATAGATGTCAAATTTTTGCCTTTTAAGTTGTAATTTAAGTTGTATCTTCTTAAACTCTGTGCAAGAGTGCTTTTCAATGGGTTTTGCATCAGGACTTTACATTGGATTTTACACTGTGTTGTTAATCCAACAGAGTAGCCAAATAGTTTCTTTAAAACTATGTTTTAAAGGGGTCCTATTATGCTTTTTCACTTTTTCAATTTTTCGAAAAACCTAGTATGAGAGCCTGTTCTAGTACACCCCCAAAACAAAATCAAGACTTTGTAAAAGAGCATAATAGGATCCCTTTAAGAAAATGTCCTTATAATCAAATATTGAAGTGTATTACATTGAACAACATAGGCCAAACTGTATTCAAGATTATTAACATAAATGGACAGTTTTAGTTTTTAAATGTATTGAATTTCAATTATTTTGCCAAAAAATTGGCAAAAAGCCAATATTTAAATACACAAAACACAATGTGGTTTGTACAATCCATTTTTAACCACATTTATCCTCAATTTACTGAAACATAGTCTGGAATGTTTTTTTTTTTTTTTAATTTGATTAGAGTTGTTCAACAACCAAAACACTGAGCACTTCATTTGAAGAAAGATTTATTTGCATGATTCAATGAAACTGACAGCACTAGTCATTATAAAACAGTGTCGAATATCACAGTTATGCAGGCTAGTTTTTATCTCGTTGTCGTGGATCCTCACTCGCGTCGTCCTCTCCCTGTTTTCAGCCAGGACACAAACTCTTTTGCCGCCTGGTCCTGCAGGTAAGAGCTGACGTCACTGGTGAATGTGCCGTCTGCGTGTCGTCGTGTGGGGACTCTGGGGGGAAAAAAAGAATGATTATTTATGGAAAGAGTGACATTCTTCATGTCTGATTGAAAAAGGACATTAATAATAAACTGCATCTATTTACAGTACTGTTCAAAAGTAAACAAATTAAAACTTTTATTCAGCAAGGATGCATTAAATTGATCAAACGTGACAGTAAAGACACAATAATAATTCTAATAATATTTCTCAATATTACTGTTTTTACTGTATCAAATAAATTGATACAGATAAGCCTTGGTGAGCAGAAGAGATTTTCAAAAACATAAAAAACCCTTTTGAATTGTGTAAATTTACTCTATATGATTATCGCCATTTGTAAATTTTTTCCTTTCTATATCAAATATAAGTAATTTTTAGCCATTCTAATGCTGTATTCATGTCATGTGGGAATTGCTATGATTTAAATGAATTTCCAACTAGTGAATGTCATGTAAAATTATACAATAGAGTTAAATAGAGTCTACACACATTTGTCAAATATGTCATTTTATGTTGTTTTGTTACCTGTTCTTAAATATGTTGCAAGAACTAACAAAATTTAAGCTTACCCACTTCTCTTGGAGTTCATTAACCACTGAACGAAGTCTTGTGCTCTCCTGGTCTCCAGGTATTTACTGTAATCGTTTGAGAATGTGCCTTCTGAATGTCTCTTCATGTTGTTTACTTCTCGTGGGTCATTAAATAGTGCCTCCTCAGACATAAGGCTGAAAATGTATATCAAATGCATCATTCTCCAAAAATAAGATATATTTATTTCAACCCCAAAATCAAAAGAAAAAAAAAACATGCATTTAATTTATGAATGACATTTTTTTTTTAAGTTTGCAGCAAAATTAGTAATATTTTCTGACATTTAATTGTCATAAGGTAAATACAAATCTAAAAATAAAACCTTAAAAATATGCTTAATTTTCTTTAAATGGCTTACAGTTCCCTTTTGAGGTTAAATGTGTCACAGACTGTTTGTTTGCAAAGGTTAGAATAAAAATCCCATCTGTAAAGGCCATTAAAAAATGAAATAATTCTGAATTTAGTTGCTCTTACCTGGAGTTTTCTTCCATGTTTTCTTGTATGGGAATCTGCAGGCTGCTCTGGATCAGGATGAGAAGTAAAAGTCCAATGAAGGCGTAGATCCTTGTCATCATCTTACCTGAGGATCAGACCATACAGCTACTCAGTAAACCATTAATGCATTCTACCTGAAATGACACATAGTATAGCGCCAAAAAGTTCTCAGGCTCACCCGGATTTCGTTGGGTCGTCACAGAGAAATAAAGCCAAAGATTTTGATGTTGCTTCGCTGGTTTCTCCTTCTTGGCTCCCAGCGCGATTTCACGGTCCCAGCCTGATGTTCTGAGTCTTATATAGTGATGCCCAGGTGGCACGATCCACACACACACAGACACACACTTATTAGTTTCAATCCATTAATCTCAATGCATCAATGTGTTTGCACTGTGAACCTGTTTAAAAAGAGAGATGGGGAAATAGTCAAACAAGTCAAAAAGTCACTTAAAAACAGAGGAGAGCAAATAATTGCATAGGTACTTTCAGGATGAGATGCATTCAGTCAGATTTCCAGGCAGTGATGTTTGCACTCTGCAAAGCTTTCTTTTTGTGCTTTTTTGTTTTTTACTCTCATGAGGGAGAAATCAAATTTTTCCTCAATACAGGAATCTTATACTACACTGAAAAAAAATAGTGTAAGGTTTACTTTTTAGCAATTTTCAATTGGAAAGTGCTAGTAAATTAACAAACAATTATAAGAAATTACTAGTAACACACAAATTTAAAAACAACATTTGAAAGACTGAAATGGTATTTTCTTGTAAAACATACTCCAATAATCTTTTATTTACAACTAATCTGTGTCTAAATACGTTTGGGTTTTGTATAATGAACTTGAATATACACTCTAAAAAATGCTGGGTTGTTTCAACCCAACTTTGGGTCAAATTTGGACTAACCCAACTCTTGTGTTAAAAATTGAATGTAAAAATTTAACCCAACAGTTGGGTTAGTCCATATTTGACCCAAAGTTGGGTTGAAACAACCCAGCATTTTTTAGAGTGTATAGATGGCAGTTCTGTTCTCCTGTTATTTCCAAGCTATTATTTATACATTTATTATATACTGTACATGTTTATAAGTTATACTTCTTAACTGATGCTTTTCCACTGTTTTTCTAAATTCTTTAGATTTGATCAAGTGTTAATGCTTCAGTCCCCCAGAGATCAGTTGATTCTAACTTTATGTATTTTATTTTATTTGATAAATATTGTTAATTCCCCTGAGGATTCTCGATAGAACTAATAATGCTTTTGTAGTAGTAATGGCAACCTTCTAACTTGATCATGCCTTTTAACTAGTAGTAGCAACTTGACTAACATGTTTAAACAAGTTATGGCAATTTGGACTGTTTAAAAGCTTAATTGGTGGTGCAATAAACTACACTCTAAAAAATGCTGGGTTGTTTCAACCCAACTTTGGGTCAAATATAGACTAACCCAACTTTTGGGTTAAAAATTTAATGTAAAAATTTAACCCAACGGTTGGGTTAGTCCATATTTGACCCAAAGTTGGGTTGAAACAACCCAGCATTTTTTAGAGTGTAGTTGTGTTTTAGCTGTCATTATTCAGGAATATTTAGAAACGGTATAATACTTAATATAATACTACTTTCACGTCTGTTGTATAAGTCTGCACAGTCAGTCTTCTTGCATAATTAAATAATTTAAACTCTAAAGTCAATATTTTTGTATTTGTCCATTTGTCCATATTTGTTGAGTGCCCTGTAAAAAGTGCCACTTAAAGTCCTGATTGTCTGACTTTACATTATGATTGTTAATATTTCTTGACTTTAATTTAATTAATGTGGGTTTTAGTTGATATATTTATAACATCAGCGAATGACATTTATCTGTGCTCTTAAGTAGCCTGTTAAGCAACTTCCCTTTGCTGTACATTTCAGTAGTTCAACCAGCAGGTGGCACTGTTCATATACCATCATATAGACTATGATATATATATATATATATATATATACAGTACCAGTTAAATGTGTGACGAAATTGTCAAAACTATTAAACGACAGAGATAGAAGTACAAAAATTCAGTCCAGTGTGTCCAAACCTTTAACTGGTAGTGTATAATAATATATAATATGTAAAATGTGAAATGGAAATTAAGCATCCAGACACAGAATTTTCACACACAGAAATATTGTTCTTTCTCTTTTCATTCAGTTTTCAGGATGTATGAAGCATGAGGCATTCAAATCCAGAATGTTTCACTTGATCAGTTTTCTTACAGACATGCTCAGACCACGCATTGAAGTCAGTGCATAAACACAACTGCATAAAACAATGGCTTCCACAATCGATTTGTAAATGTAACATTATAAAACATGCCAGAATTCTGTGAGATACACTGCATTCATATCAGGTCACATTCGTAGAGTAATCATCACAGCAATTTGATAAGAAAAACAACAGCTAATACAAATTCCACATATTAAAAGAATAATATAAAATCTTACATGTAAATGTAATTGACTCTGACATAAGAGTTTGTTCCCATCAACATGTTCTACAGTATATACAGACTAACATGTCAAGCATCTGTCATTAACAGTGTTTGTGTCAATGTAAGAGGAACATTTTTGTCTTCATAATGCATCAATATGTCCATTTATTTTTTCTCAGCAAAGCAGTTCTGCAGGAAATGGTTCAAGTGTGTGTAGAGGTGGTAACGCGCTTTACCAGACAGTCCATGATCCTTATCGGTGTACCACTGAGGAAAAAACATGACACATTTAGGCATTTAGACTGTTTTGAAGAAAACAAGATGTTTCAGAGCTTAAAGGAACAGTACACACAAAAATGAAAATTTGCTGAAAATGTGCTCACTCTCAGGCCATCCCAGATGTAGACGAGTTTCTTCATCAGAACAAATTTGGAGAAATGTAGCATTGCATCGCTTGCTCAGCAATGGATCCTCTGCAGTGAATGGGTGCCGTCAGAATGAGAGTCCAAACAGCTGATAAAAACATCACAATAATCCACAAGTAATTCACACCACTCCAGTCCATCAGTTAATGTCTTGTGAAGTGAAAAGCTGCATGTTTGTAAGAAACAAATCCATCATTAAGGCGTTTTTAACTTTTGCTTCCACTAAAATATGAGTCCATAACCCATAATTAAGTCAGTTGTCCACTCGCATCAAAATCCAACAACAAGTTTGTTTAGAATGGGTCTGAACTGTTTTCACTTATAAATGGTGCTTGATCTGCGCATATTTCTCTCCTGATTCAGACAAGACGACATTTTACTGCATGCATCTTGATGGATTTGTTTCTTACAAACACTCAGCTTTTGTCTTCTCAAGATGTTAACTGATGGACTGGAGTGGTGTGGATTACTTCTGGATTATTGTGATGTTTTTATCAGCTGTTTGGACTCTCATTCTGACGGCACCCATTCACTGCAGAGCATCCATTGCTGAGCAGGTGATGCAATGCTACATTTCTCCAAATCTGTTCTAATGAAACAAACTCATCTACATCTTGGATGGCCTGAGGATGAGTAAATAGTCAGCAAATTAAAAATGTTGTATTAACTATTCCTTTGATAAAATGGTTTTCATCACCTTCACCCATTCATTTATACTCACCATTGCTTCAAAATCAACTTGATTTTCCACCAGGGCTTTGGAAATTTGGGCAGCCTGCTGGAAGTGGACGTTGTCTAGAGTAGTGAGGTCAAAACAGCCAGAAAACATGTCAAGAAAACATCTTTAAATGCTGCATATGTAGTCAAGACACTAGGTGTTGGATCAGAGTCTGTTTATCAGATTATAAATGCAGATTTATAAACTTTACACTGCTTACCGTCTGCAGTGCCATGCACCAGCATGTATTGCACTGACTTGAAATTTTTTGCCCTGCCGGTCACTGTAGAATTCTGCAAACAAGCATATCAACCAAATATATAAAAAATTATATTGATACCTGTTCATAATTATGTGTTTTCTTACAGGGTAACTCACTTTATAACTTTCCATGTTTTCCTCAGGGCGATGCATGTATCTCTCTGTATATACGGCATCTGTGAAGAACGCAGTGTGAGTTAAATTTGCTAAATAGTTTGTGGTTAATCCATATCATAAATCAGAAAATCTCAAAATCCATACCATAATACTCCCACTTAGCGACAGGAGCCACGGCAATTCCACATTTGAGCAGTCCACATCCTGATCCCAGAACCATGGAAGTCACATAGCCACCATATGACTGTGAGCAAGACAAACGTATCATGATTAGTGTGATGGTTTTCAGTCATCAGGCTCATCATAGATCTTTTAGTGAAGGTTATTTTACTTTAATTAGAAAAGAGAAGTTCATCAAGACAGACTCTGAATGATGGTTTTGATAGATGCTTATTGAAAGTTTAAATCTGCTGTAAAGAGTTCTAACATTTAAAGCTTGTTAAAATATTTTTTGGAAGATGTAAATGTTTTGTTAAAATACTTTCTGTACACTACTGGTCAAAAGTTGAAATAATTAAGTTTTTTTATGTTTTTGAAAGAAGTTTCTTCTGCTCATCAAATCTGCATTTATTTGATCAAAAATGCAATAAAAACAGTAATATTGTGAAATATTATTACAATTTAAAATAACTGTTTAATATGTAAATATATTGTAAAATGTAATTTATTCCTGTGATACAAAGCTGAATTTTCAGCATCATTACTCCAGTCTTCAATGTCACATGATCTTCAGAAGCTGATTTGCTGCTGAAGAAACATTTCTGATTATTATCAATTTAGAAAACGGTTGTGCGGCTTCATATTTTTGTGGAAACCATGATACACTGCCATTCAAAAGTCTGGGGTAAGTAAGATTTATTTTTTTATTTTTTTAAAGAAATAAATACTTTTATTCAGCAATGACACATTAAATTGGTCTAAAGTGACAGAAAAGACATTTATTATGTTACCAACGTTTTCTAATTTAAATAAATGCTGTTCCTTTGAACCTTCTATTCATCAAGTAATCATGAAATAAATGTATCATGGTTTCCACAAAAATATTAAGCAGTAAAAACTGTTTTCAACATTGATAATCAGAAATGTTTCTTGAGCACAAACCAGCATATTAGAATGATTTCTGAAGATCATGTGACACTGAGGACTGGAGTAATGATGCTGAAAATTCAGCTTTGATCACAAGAATACATTACATTTTACAATGTATTTACATATAAAAAAAGGTATTTTAAATTGTATTAATATTTCACTATTTTGTTGTATTTATTTTATTTAAAAAAATGCAACTTCGTGAGCATAGAAGACTTTTTGCAAAAACATCTTAATTATTCCAAACTTTTGACTAGTAGTGTAGCTTGAAATCTTCGATTTAAAATTTAAAATCCAACCAAGCCAACATAATAAAACCTATTGTTAGACATGAAAGCGCTGCACTTACCCAACCCCACATGCCAATTCTGTTTTTGTCAATGAAACCCATTTCAATTAATTTTCTGAAATTAAGCACAAAGTCACAATTACGAAGATATTCCAAAACAAAATGACTACTTTTGTAAAATACATCTTTGTAGATGATAGTTTGTCACATTTCGTGAAAATCTCAAGACTGCTCTGCTTTCAGTCAACTCAACTAGCGTTTGACCTCGATCAACCTGTTTTTGACACATGCTTCATGACAAGCTTGTTCCCTCTTGTAGGAAGCTGACTGGACTCACGTCTGCCTCATATCTCTTGTGCGTCTGTGAGTGTTACATCAGGCTAAATGACTCTGCATCATCATCACAGACGGCAGCGGCGAGCGTGTGCACATCGTTCCCTCCACCTCACCTCATGGCCGAGATCTGATCTTCCACCTCGTACGTTCCCAGCCGGCCGTAGATGGCATGCATTATCTCATCACCCTGGTAACCACTTCCCCTGCCATCAAAGCTGGCGATGATGACCTTCTCTGTGCTGCACAGGTACGTGGCCCACTCCAGTCGAAACACATAGTCTGTATTCTGACTGGCTGGACCGCCATATCTGTAATGGGAAAGTGTGGAAAAAACACTGATATACTCAGTATATTCAAGATATTTTTGTAATGGAGAAAATAGTTGTTTTAAATAGTTGCTATGATGCTATACTCCATCTATTTTGCTAATTATTTTATCATTATTTTGCAAGCAGCTTGTATTAGCTAACTTTTATTTATTAATTTACACTACCATTCAAAAGTTTGAGGTCAGTAAACTTTTTTTTAATTTTAAGAACTTCATACTTTTATTCAGCAAGAAGTCATTAAATTGAGCAAAAGTGACAGTCAAGGCTTTTACTTGTAGTACAAAAAAAAGTACTACATCTATTTTAAATAAATGCGATTCTTTTGAACTTTCTATTCATCAAAAAATCCTGAAAAAATGGTATCATGGTTTCCACAATAATATTAAGCAGCAATATTAATGATTTCTAAAGGATCATGTGATACTGAAGACTGGAAGAATGACTGAAGAAAATTCAGCTTTGCATCACAGGATTCCATTTACATTTTACAATTACATTTGAAAATATATTGAAATAGTCAATAATTTTAATAATAAAATTTAAATAGTTATTTGAAATTGAAATAATATTTCTAAATATTACTTATTTTTTACTGTATTTTTGATCATGTAAATGCAGCATTAGTGTTAAATGTTAAAACACAATTACATTTGAAAATATATTGAAATAGTCAATAATTTTAATAATAACATTTAAATAGTTATTTTAAATTGAAATACTATTTCTAAATACTACTTATTTTTTACTGTATTTTTGATCATGTAAATGCAGCATTAGTGTTAAATGTTAAAACACAATTACATTTGAAAATATATTGAAATAGTCAATAATTTTAATAATAACATTTAAATAGTTATTTTAAATTGAAATACTATTTCTAAATACTACTTATTTTTTACTGTATTTTTGATCATGTAAATGCAGCATTAGTGTTAAATGTTAAAACACAATTACATTTGAAAATATATTGAAATAGTCAATAATTTTAATAATAACATTTAAATAGTTATTTTAAATTGAAATACTATTACTTTTTTTTTACTGTATTTTTGATCATGTAAATGCAGCATTAGCATTAAATGTTAAAACACAATTACATTTGAAAATATATTGAAATAGTAAATAATTTTAATAATAACATTTAAATAGTTATTTTAAATTGAAATACTATTTAAAACACAATTACATTTTAAAATATATTGAAATAGTAAATAATTGTAATAATAAAATTGAAAAAGTTATTTTAAATTGAAATATTTCTAAATATTACTTATTTTTACTGTATTTTTGATCATGTAAATGCAGCATTAGTATTAAATGTCAAAACACAATTACATTTTAAAATATATTGAAATAGTAAATCATTTTAATAATAAAATTTAAATAGTTATTTTTAAATGAAATACTATTTCTAAATACTACTTATTTTTTACTGTATTTTTGATCATGTAAATTCAGCATTAGTATTACATGTTAAAACACAATTACATTTTAAAATATATTGAAATAGTAAATAATTGTAATAATAAAATTGAAAAAGTTATTTTAAATTGAAATATTTCTAAATATTACTTATTTTTACTGTATTTTTGATCACGTAAATGCAGCATTAGTATTAAATGTTAAAACATTAAAAAAAATCTTACTGAGCCCAAACCTTTGAACCAGAGTGTATAAAATAATGCAAATTAATTGTAACTCACACTTGAATTAAAAGAGGGTACTTTTTGGAGGAGTCAAAATTTGGTGGGAACATCATCTGATACCACAGGTCTGGAGAAACATAAACAACATGAAAGGCTTTAGATAAATGCAATGCTAGATCCTATTTGCCTGGAATACTTCAAAATGTTGCACATACCGAATCCTGCGATTTTCATTGTGGCACGTTTGATGGTCGGCATCAGAAGCTCTGTAGTCAGTATTTTTTCCAGTTTCTTATTGTCCTCAAGTACCTGAATCTCTAATCCAAAAAAATAAATAAAAGGTATACATTAATAAACCGCATACAAGTTTTGAACAACTTTAAGGTTAGTAAATGAAGATAGAAATTTCAGTTTTATGAACTATTACTTTATTTATGTAGCTCATGTAAAAGTGGTTGGATTGAACAGATACTAGCACAAACCTTTAGCGGGCCCTCTGTTGTCCATCAGTGTAAACAGCGGAAGCCCTGGTCCTGTAAAATCAGTGTTTATTAGATTGAGCACACACTCTCCTCTCTCAGTCACCTCAGATCAGCCGAGGTATCGTTCAGCTGTTTGTCATGAGTGAATCTCACAGGCGTGAAAGCGTGCTCACTAACCGTAGCAGTCCATACGGAAGAAAGAGGCGTTCAGGCTGAAGTAAGCAGAGTTATACTGACACCTGTCCTGGTACAGCGAACAGGTGAGGCACTCGGGGGCAAGATGTCCACTCTTGCTTATAGAAATCCTGAGAACAAGAGAAAGTTTTTTTTTTAATATATTTCTCAGTGAAAATTTGGGATGGGAATCATTAGAAAATTCTGAAAAATTCTAATTCTAAATTTCTTCTAGTAGCTCGTGTGGCTGTTTTTTGCTCTGTGTTGTTATTGTGTGGTCTTGTGCTATTGTATATGTCGTTTGTGCCATGTCTGTGTAGAAAGTGTAAATTAGTCTTTGATTTGATACATTTAAAAATTAATTCTACTTTTGTATTTCCGTGCCATATTTTTGCACCCTCACATTCCAGATTTTCAAATAGTTGTATCTCGGCCAAATATTGTCCTTTCATAACAAACCATACATCAATGGAAAGCTTTTATTCAGCTTTCAGTTGGTGTATAAATCTCAATTTCGAAAAATTGACACTTATGACTGGTTTTGTGGTCCAGGTTCACATTTTTTATATTTTTTTCCCCACAGAATGAGAAATTTGAAGAATCTTTTCAGTATGGATTATTTTTATAATGTGCATTTATTTATTTTTGTCCTTTTGAAGTTTGACAGTCATGAACTGTCACTGTATAGGCAGGTTGAATTAAAATTGCATGCATTAAAAATTCTGCTTTTGTGTTCCACTGAAAAAATAACAGCATAGGGGATCAGAACAACATGAGGTAAATAAACACTGATAATTATGAACAATCTTTCCTTTTTTTTGATGAACTATGTCTCTATAGTGGCTCTGATGTGTGTACTGCATATTATATTTAGACGTTTGTCCACATCATCAGAGGAATACAGACACTCCAAAAACTAAACTAAACTAAATTCCTATTTTAATATTTCAAATGTAAAATATTTAGAATATTAAAACAGAATCCTTATACAAGCTGATGCAAAAAGGCATGTTTACTTGTAAAGGTTTCTCTGTCCAGGTCTTCCCATGTGTTCATTACTCACGTAGTATCTGTGGAAAGAATAGATTTTAGATGTGTGGGAAAGTTTGGAAATAAAGGCACATGAGAAGCTCATGACAACACAAGACTCCTACACTCTCATACGCACATGGAATCTTTGGTTACTTTTGAGATGTATATCACTTCCCATTTGCCTGAGGTGATGGGTGTTGCTTTTCCCTACAAAGAAAACAACACAGTTGACAGATCAACAGCTTGCTAAGCTTGTACCACAGTGTTTCTTTGTGTCTCACTTTTAATGGTTATTGGTCAAAGGATATAACATTATAGCCTGTAATACAGTGAAATGATATATCTGAGGTTTGCACGATAGAGCTCAACAGTGACCGCCTACTGTTTCAGCGGCATTGGTTCTGGATGTACTGTTCCCATTCATATTTCATAATCATGCACCAAACCAACCAGCTCTGAGATGAATCACAACAATCTTCCATTTGCATATAATATAATCATCGTATCTGTTTTAAAAGACAATAGCATTAAAACCAATTTATATACGGAGAAAATTAATGACTTTTTGGTACTTCCAGTACCATTGCTGTAAGATTTAGAGCTTCACGCACTAAAGCTCAGCAGGTATTTGAATAATGAATATAAAAATACAAAATAATAATAATACTATGATACTTACGGCATCCACATAGTGGAGATGTTTATAACCTTTGTCATTGCTCATAACTTTGTAAAAACTCATGTTATTTGCAGCAAAGTAAGGAGCTGCGGGAAAGTACTGTGGGGGGAAACACAGGCCATGAATTGTAAGGTTTCACAGCATCATCTTTAGCAAAAATTCAATCATTTGGAGATTTCATGTGATTGCTGCATGCACTCACCCGTCCAACCCATCCAGTTTTGCTCTTTTGCTCAAATTTCTGTAACAAAAAATAAAAAATAGAAAGGTACAGTATGTAAAGTTAATGAGCTGATAATAGATGCAAAAGCGGATGAAGTTTGTGTGCAGTTTCCTCCCTGAGTTCACAGCACTTCTGTATGTATAACGTGTATTATTGACATGCCAGATTTTAATGAGGGAAGACCTTGTGCATAATGAATCAAAAAGGTACTTGAAAAGTGCTTGAATTATTGAAATACAATATACAGTATATGAAACTGGGCTTGACAATAAGGACTGCCTAATGGCCCAGGGCCACAAGAAATAGATGAGGGAATCGTCACTGTCAGATTGGGCCAGAAAGTTTATCATTTGCACATGTTTTTAAGTCTTATTAGTTTAAAGTCCCCATGAAATCAAAATTAAATTTTATTTGGGTGTTAGTATCAATATGGTAGTCTTAATGATATCTATAAGGCAGTGTGCTCCAAAACTGTGACAAAATTCGCATTTAGAAGATATAAGCATTCAAAGCTTGCAGTTCGTCATTTCCGCCAAAACGGCTCAACGATTTTTTTGACGTCACATCGTACTTCAGCTTCTCATCAAACTTTCTGTCCAATCAAATGCTCTCTAGAATCCGAAGCGGATTCAAATTTTTTTAATTGGGAGAAGATGAAATGCATATAAACATTCAAAGCTTGCAGTTCGTCATTTCCGCCAAAACGGCTCAACGATTTTTTTGACGTCACATCGTACTTCAGCTTCTCATCAAACTTTCTGTCCAATCAAATGCTCTGTAGAATCCGACGCGGATTCAAATTTTTTTAATTGGGAGAAGATGAAATGTTGAAATCATGGGCTTTGATAATGTTCTCATACTTTAAGTTGCCACAGTCATTGCATAAATGTACTTTATTTGTACAATTTTTGTTTTATTAGTATATTTAAATATTGAAATGAGATCTCTGATTATAGTCCTTGAAAAGCAAAAAAAGCATGCTTAAAGTCCTTGAAAGTCCTGTAATTTCATTATATAGTATCTTGCTTTTATGTGGAAGATAAAAAAACAAAAAACATACAGGTTTAATTTTGTTATGTAGGCTATTTATGTAATATTTCTTTTTGGATTTGAGAGTTATTTTCTATCATTTATTATTTGTGTATTTTTGCCACTTTTCTTCAATTAAGAGTGTAATTTTTTTATTTTTTTGGCTTTTATTAATGAACAAAATAGTAAAAGATTAATATATGTAGTTTTACTGTTTTTTTTTTTCACTTTTTTTCTGATTTATTTTTCAGACAGTGATAAATCTGAAAGAAAACACATTAGTAGTAATTATTTAAAAATATATTAAAGTACTTTTATTAAAATAAAGAAAAGCTTTATTTTTTATTTAATACTTTATTAAACCGATAGTTCGCCCAAAATGACAATTTTGTCATCATTTACAAACAGTTGCTGGTAGCCACAGATTTCCATAGTATGGAAAAAAATTACCATAGGATTAAATGGCTACCGTCAACTGTCCATTTACCAACATTCTTCAAAATATCTTCTTTTCTGTTCAACAGAAGAAAGAAACTCACCGAGGTTTCTTTCCAGTTGGTGCCATCATAGTCATAGATCTGCAGAAGGACGCTGTCCTGTCGGCGTGGCAGCCATTGAACAGCTAGACGCTCATCTGTGACCCAGGTGACTGTTCTCAGATAGTGATCGCTGGGAAACGAGCAATAAAAATAACATTGCTTATGTTTCAGATGTGAGGCTTTGTGTGAAAATGTGAAAATAGAAACATAAGACGGACACACCCTGATCCGACAGATTTCGGTACCACCACTTCTGATTGTTTGGATGGATTTTCCACGTCAATCACAAACAGCCTTGCTCTGGGAATAACACAGCCTGCCTTTGTAAGCAGAACAACAGTTTAGTAGCAAAATTATATTGTAAAATGCGAATAGCAGAGATCAAGCTGTCATCACACAGGATTTGAAACAAATTAGTTCAGTTAGAAAACCACAGACAGTTGGGCCAACAGGACCAATAATGTTTCACCTTGCAAATTTATGGATTTTCAACAAAACGATAATATTGAAATATGAAAATATGCTTTTGTGTGTCCAAAGCATTAGTTATAAACTCAAACTAAATTAAATTGTAAAATCACTGGGATGTTTGCTCACTTTTGGGTAGGGGATAAATACTGTGGTGGGATACTGGTCATTTCCATACAATGAGTATTCAATGTTGTGAACTCCAGTGTCATTGATTTGTAGGTAAGCCAGATATTTCCCCTGCGGAGACCACCAGATGGCTTCGTTGGATGCAAAAACTTCCTCTGTCCAGCACGAAAAGCAGCAAGTTAGCAGGTATGAATGAATGAATGTCTGTGTGTGTGTGAATGCATTATATGACGTTACCTTCATAAACCCAGTCTGGAACCCCATTGTGAATTTCGTTGACTTTTCCATTGTGAGTGACTTGTACGGCCTCAGCAGTGGCGTTCTTTTTGAGGTAAATATTATATTCCCAGACGTAAGCCTGCGGATTAACACAAAATAATAAGGCTCAACTGCTATGTTATAGCTTACTCATTGAAGTGCAACAGAGGGGATCTAGAAGTAAATATAACATTCATTTGATAAACAGATTTTTAAAACTAATCTTCCATAAGCTCTGAGGTTTAGTGATGAAACCAGAATTTTGCTTATAGCAAAATCTTCTCGAACCAAAGCTAGGCAAGGAAAGGCAAGGCTAATTGATTTATATAGTACATCTAAAACCATATTTGTATTTTTTTTAACGCTTTTTTCCCTCTTTATTTTCTTACCATCAACCTCTAAAACCATATTTTTTATTTTTAACACATTTTTTCTCTTCTTTTTCTTACGATCAACCTGGGTCTGCATATGAAAATAAGTCTGTATGTCTAAATCTTGCACATTTACATGATGAACAACACAAGTACTCATGTATAATACCCATGTATAATAAACATTAAAAAGGCTAAAATAAAAATAAGAACCGATGCATAAGATAAATAAAATTAAAACAAATAAATAAAAGTAACGAAAAAAAAAATAAAAAATGATTGAAAATGTATTAAACAAATAAGAATAAGAACAGCTGCTGAAAAATATGTTTTTGTCATGATGGAAAAACCTAGGTGAGCTTGTTAAAAACTCTTCTTTTAGTTGCAATGATTTGGGGAAACTAGAGCGTTCCAATAATATAATAATTGGAGGGTGCTTGTTATGATCTGTATGGTTTTTTTATGCCTTACTGTTTGTAACTCACCAATTTATTTCCTATTGGTGCCCACACTAAGAACTGTGTTACAGGTGGAATCTGAACCTTGGAGAGAAATTCCCTGAATCCAACAGAAAACAAGACACATTAAAGTATGTATAACATCATCAATTGTTGGAATTAGTATAGTTAAACTATAATAATTACTCATGTAAAGTCTACAATGAAACAAAACATTTTCTTAGATTACATTTCCCCCTAAACTCAATCACACTGAACACTCTCAGAAACAAACAAACAAAAAAAAAAGTACAAAAGGTTGTCACTGGGGTGCTGGGGCCCTTTCAAAATGTACTAATATGTACCATTTAGGTACTAATACATACACTTTAGGTATTATGTATCTTTAAGGTACTAATATGCACCATTTAGGGGTAAAAAAGTGTACCTTTTAAAAATGTACTGCACCAGGGATAACTTTTGTACCTTTTTTTCTGAGAGTGAACAATATCTATGTGAGTGTGTTTGAAATACACTGAAACATTTTCAGGACTTTCCCAGGTCTGGAAATCACATTTTCAGAATGATATAAGTTTTCCATGCACATGGGAACTGTATATATTTTGATAGACCTATTATAGGAACATCTTTACTCACTGAGACTCCATGTTGTAAATATGGTAGGATGCAGTGAAGGAGTGTCGCCATAGCTGTTGATGCATTTCAAGCATGTGTTAGAAACATCAGCATGAGTCACTTATGCACCGTATTAGTGTTCAATTATGAAGTGTTTTTAGTTTTATTGCAGTCAAGTTACCTTTGAGTAATTGCTCTCAAAGATGACAAACTTTCTGTCTGCTGACAATATGTAATCTGTGGCATCCACTTGGGCCTGTAAATCAATTCACAGTAAATAAGTGGAATTTACATGCATGTTAAACATGAATAAAAGATGTAAGAAAAGAGATAATGAAATATATGAGACTATTTAATGAGAAATGTCTGGAGAGGCATTCAAACCCTCATACACTCTAAAAAATGCTGGGTTGTTTCAACCCAACTTTGGGTCAAATATGGACTAACCCAACTTTTGGGTTAAAAATTTAATGTAAAAATTTAACCCAACGGTTGGGTTAGTCCATATTTGACCCAAAGTTGGGTTGAAACAACCCAGCATTTTTTAGAGTGTATGAGGCAACCTACAAATGTTGAGTTGCTCAGGTACATTGAGCTTTCCTTCGTTTCAGCATTGTGTACGTAAATATGGCCTTCGCTGGTTTTGTGGAGGTATTCATTGTCTGGTGGAAAATAAGACAGCAGAGTATATGTGTCAGGGTGATTTAGAGGTCATCAGGAAAAAAAAACAGGGACCATGTGAAGCACTTCAGGTGTCCTACCTGACATCCAGTGGAGACTGTATGTTTTATACCTGATGGTATCATTGTAAAAATCATAAAAAGAATAAGTTCTCTTTAATGCAGACTCATCTCCTGAAAGCACAGTGAAGGAAAACAGTTTTAGTCTTCAACAGTTCAGACAAAAATGTTTTAATATATTATAGATTTATAGATTTTATATATATATTTTTTTTCAATTTTTAAATATAGCCTACATATAACAAAATTGTAAAATATATTGCAGTTAATATGAAATTCCCACAAGAACAACAGTTTCTTTGATGTTCACATGGAGGCGCTAGTGGGTTAACTCACTTTTTTTTTTTTTTTAGAATATTTTATCACAATATATGCTATTAATACGGATATATACAGTATATATAAACAGTGTTGGGGTAACGCATTACAAGTAACGCGAGTTACGTAATCAGATGACTTTTTTTCAAGTAACTAGTAAAGTAACGCATTACTTTTTAATTTACAAGATAATATCTGAGTTACTTTTTCAAATAAGTAACGCAAGTTACTTTTTTTTTCCAATTTATTGTTTGACAGCTCTCCTGTCCCCATGTTGAGAGAAATCAGGAGATGTTACTGTAGTTCTAAAATAAATATGAATATGCATTAATTCATCTCACTCACACACAAAAAACACACAGATTCAGTATTCCTCAAAATGAATAATAATGCAACTCAGAATATGACGCAAACCTGCAATAATTAAATGTTAAACAACACAAATATCCTTTTATGTATTTAATCCCATTCTATTAACCAATGTCTTTGCTTCTGACCTTCGATGATCCAGTTCAACCATACTAAAAAAAATTAATTACATTTGAGATTTGCTATGGATTACATCTATTAATGTTATTATATTTTTAGTGTTAAAAATTCACTTTAGATGACAGCAAAGGTTATGGTAACACTTCAATTTAAGGACCAGTTCCCACTATTAACTAGTTGCTTATTAGCATGCATATTTCTAGCATATTGGCTGTTTATTAGTACTTATAAAACACATATTAATGCCTTATTCTGCATGACCGTATTTTAGATCCCTTAATCTCTACTCCATACCAAAACTTATCAACTAGCTTACTAACTATTAATAAGCAGCAAATTAGGATTTTGTTTAGGGAAAACTTTTATGTGAATATGAATACTTACAGTGTAATTCTTATAGTGAATATGTGTTCCCTATTCTAAAGTGTTACCAAGGTTATCTAAACGCATAAATAAGGAACAAGATCAGGCACAGTTATGTTAAATCAGCTGATATATGAAATATCAATACATATAAATGAAAAAAACTTTCTCTAATATCAGCTCAGGAACAGATATATTGTGCATTGCTAAAAAAAGAATGTAAACAAATATAATTTGTGGGTTATTATGAATTTATTTACAAAAACAAAACTGCAGACAACAAGTGTCCAGGAAACACGTGAATACTGTTTAACAAGCATCCCAGGATGCACCTCATGAAGTTGGTTGAAGAAGCTCAAATATAAGACTCAAAGTGAGTGCTAAATAAGCAAAAGTACCAGATAAGATGCTTTGAGACACAATGCGCTCGAGACCTGGTCGATGCACTAAAGGTGGGCTTTGGAAGCCACTGGAAACCTTATGCAACCTGCCTATGAGCCTGGATTAGCAGCCTAACGAATAAGCTTAAATGAGTCAGAGCACATTTAACGCTACTAAACAAACCGCCCAAACAACCAGTATCCTCAAGAAACTCATCTCAAGTCATCTTCTAAGTTGAATACCCCACTAGGCCTTTAGGAAACCACTTGTAATGATACGATTTCACAGTAAACAGCCACAATTTACCAATGTAAAATGAAACTATGCTTGAATTCTGTTCTCACCAGGTGCTTAAACAGTGTTGGGGTAACGCATTACAAGTAACGCGAGTTACGTAATCAGATGACTTTTTTTCAAGTAACTAGTAAAGTAACGCATTACTTTTTAATTTACAAGATAATATCTGAGTTACTTTTTCAAATAAGTAACGCAAGTTACTTTTTTTTTCCAATTTATTGTTTGACAGCTCTCCTGTCCCCATGTTGAGAGAAATCAGGAGATGTTACTGTAGTTCTAAAATAAATATGAATATGCATTAATTCATCTCACTCACACACAAAAAACACACAGATTCAGTATTCCTCAAAATGAATAATAATGCAACTCAGAATATGACGCAAACCTGCAATAATTAAATGTTAAACAACACAAATATCCTTTTATGTATTTAATCCCATTCTATTAACCAATGTCTTTGCTTTTGACCTTCGATGATCCAGTTCAACCGTACTAATAAGCAAAAATTACTCTAGACACACATTTGTGTCTTTTTTTATTGCTGAAGTGTGTTGAAATTTCTTCTTCTGCATTCTACTGTCCGGACGTAAATTTACTTTCCCTTCAGCCTGAGGCTTATTCATTTCACTTTTCGTGTGAATAGGCTTTTATATTTGCCAAAATATAACTTTTTTATTTTAAAAACAAACAAGCAAGCCCTGTCCAGATTTAAAAAGTAACGCAAAAGTAACGTAACGCATTATTTTCCATAAAAAGTAACCAAGTAGTGTAATTAGTTACTTTTTTTGGAGTAACGCAATATTGTAATGCATTACTTTTAAAAGTAACTTTCCCCAACACTGTATATAAGTGACAAGTAAATCTACAACGTGATAAATTATGACAGTTTTAAGTTTTATTTATTTACCTTCCTAAACAGACAGCGATCGAGCAGCTGTTGCTATGGTTACCTCTTCACCTATAAGCGATTTCCTGACTAACTTTCAACTTTTGAGATTGCGATGTTTGAAAATGCTTTTTTAATTTTTACTATATTATAGCTTTACACATCACAGAAGAAAATAGGTAAGTGTGTTCTGTTTAATAAGTTGTTGAGAAATTGATGTTAAAGACACGAACATTATCGATCGAACCGCGAAAATGACCTGAAAATTCTAATGAAGAATTACGATCGTTTGTCATTTATCTCTACATGATTGCTTAATTACTTGAATCTTACTAAAATACCAAGGTGAATTCATGTTTAACCGCCTCTTCCTTATTGAACAGAACAGTAGTGCCAAGAAATAGCAAGTTTCATACAAGTCTCGCTTACTAGGTTATGATGTACAGACACTTTTAAGTGATTTCTTATAAATTAGTTCAAATTTCAGATGAGATGATGAAGAAGATGCCACTCACTGTTTACGTAAATTGCCGTGGGAATAATGATGAGCGTGATGACGACAAGCGCCCCGACCAGCGCCACGCACACCTTATTACAGCCCTACAGGTGAGGCCAAAAACACTGCGCTTCACAGATCACCTCAGGTGAAGGTATTGTCTTAAAACAAGTTTGAATTGCGCAAGGTATCACAGAAGCTGCGCTCAAACTGACACACCCAACTTTATTATTATTTTTTTTAACCCAAGTAACTTTTTAGTACAAAACAGCCATCCTCAGGAAAACAACACGAAGCCTACTGACCATAATTGCGCAGGAACTTCTAAAAAGCGCATCCAGTCTCTAGGAGTCCACTGACGCCTGTCTGTCCTTAAACAGATCCTCAGTCACTTTTGTCCGCGTGAATGCAAGAGTTGAACAGACCGCTGCGCTTTATTCCGTCCGACTGCAATTTTCCAGGTTAAAAATGTATTTCCTCCGATGCATCATTGAGTCTGGAGTGAAGGAATTGTGGCAAAACTTCCTCAGAATCAGCATTCCGCGCAACTTCCCGTCGGAGTGCGTTTAGTAGGCTATGTGCTTCCCTCCGTGAGCGCCTATAACTCTGTTCTATTTCAGTTCAGCAGCTGTGACTGTCGAAGTTAGCACAACCGGTCTGCTTTGACTGGAAGAGATCAAATTAATACAGACTTGCTTTCATTTCAGTGACTTGATTAGTCACCTATAATATTGGAGAGTGTTAAATATTTTTTATTTTGCGTCATAAATTTTCTTTGGAAACTTTCTTACATAACTAGTCTATAGAGAAAAAAAAAAACAATCACAGGCTTTCTGATGTCAGAGTTTTGGATTGCACCGTACACTTTTCAGTTTAGAGCATCCACGCTTTTTGGTAAATGGATTTATATCACAGTTTTCAAAATATGCATGCAAGTAGAACCGGAAATTTTCTACAAATTGTTCAATACACTCTAAAAAATGCTGGGTTGTTTCAACCCAATGTTGGGTCAAATATGGACTAACCCAACTGTTGGGTTAAATTTTGGTTACATTTTTAAATTAACTTTTTAACCCAACAGTTGGGTTAGTCCATATTTGACCCAACATTGGGTTGAAACAGCCCAGCATTTTTTAGAGTGTATAATTAATTATAGGTGCAGCCGTAACAACAAACACTGGATAATATTAATACTGGATAATAAGTTTTATGTTTCTTTTACTGCATGTTTATTTAGTTACAATTAGTCAAAACTTTGCACAGGCTTCGGAAAACCTTGATTTATTTAGGTACAAAAATATTTGTAAATATAAATATTACATATGCATATTTACAATGTGCATAATATATATATATATATATATATGATGAATATATTTTAGCATTTTACTATTTACTATATTACTATTTTAGCATTTATCATTCCAACATGTAGAAAATAATCACAAAAAATAAAGTGTAGGTGTGTCCAAATTTTGACTGATTACGTATATGTTTAAGGAATGAATTGAAGCATTTGTCAGGTAAGGAAGTACTTTGACACTGGAAAAACGTGTTGTGCATTCAGGACTTGCATTCATGCATAATAAGAGCCGGTTTCCCGACAGGTTTTCTCAGGTGATGTTTGCTCGATGGGAGCCCATGTCCTCCTGAGAACAGCTGAACAGGTGTTTGAGAACGTATGCGTCACACTCTTCCCTGATCGTCCATCTCTTTTTTTTTTTTTATGAATGCATGATTCATAATCAAAGACTGTTCATGTGAGAAAGAGAAAACAGATGACACATAAAGGGTCATTTTAATTGTTTACTTCAAATAGCATGCTGAACGATATCCTCTAGAGTAAATCTACATGTACAGAAACACTCACAAAATCAGTATTTGCGATTGGACAGCTTCACTGCTTGCACATACATTAAATGTTACAGAGCAAAACAAAGCCCTTACTGTACAATAAATCAAAATGACTTAATTCAGTGCAGTTTTAGTGAATGTCGTTTGCTAATGAGTGGTGCTGATGCAAACACTTTTTTGGGCTTTATTACAACGACTTCTATGGAAGTCCATTTCTGCTAAGGGATAAAAAAAGGTAATTGACGCATTTTATCTCACAGTTTGGAGGCATATCAGAATTGCAAGATATAAAGTCAGAGTTGTAAGATGTTGACACACAATTGCAAGATATAACATGTAATTCTGAGAAGAAAAGTCAAAATTGTGAGATATAAACTTGAAATTGCAAGGAAAAAGGTCCGAATTGTGAGATAAAAAGTCACAATTAAATTAATTTTTTAATCCATGAAAAAAAAAAAAAAGAATTGCGAGATGTAAACTTAGAATTGTGAGATAAAAAGTGCATTAGAATCAGAATTTCAAAAGTGCCACTTGAGATGAAATAAATGATGGAAATGAAAGCTTCCATTGACCCTCATCATGTTGAGCAGTGCCAGTGCTTGCAGTAGAACAGACTTGGTAGATGCATCATTTTACAGGTTATGACATCTGATTGATTGTGTCAGAGATGAGATTGAATATCTTCTGCTCTTTATTTTCAGTCAGTTTCCATGTCTTCTTCCCCGGAGTCCTCTACGAGGAGATCGGCGTGTTGAGTGTAATCAAACGCAGGGAACTTTATGGGCAACTCGCTCCATTTGCTGAATGTCTTCTGCTTGGAGCCGTATGTGACCACAAAGTTCTTGATATGGAGGCAGGGACACTCAATGCTTTTATACAGCATCATCGAGCCCCATTGCTGCTCAGGAACGAGACAAAAAAGTAAGATTTAAAATGAATGCATATTAAAGAAAATACATACTGTATGATGTATAGAGGGCTGGGTGATATCTAAAGTATTTTACTATTCATTTGCAATTATTCTGTTGCCAGTATAATATTGCACAGCATCATGAAACTTTACTGTGAAACTTTGGAAACATGTCCTGATTATATTTAACTAAATTTCACTTCTTGTATCAAGAAACTTGAATCTATTTGGCTACTTTGAAAACCAGCCGAGTTTTTGACATTTCAAATCAAATACATAAATATCAAAAGATATATTGCATATCATTAAATTTATTAATGCATACATCATTTTAATATAATTTTAATCATATTTTAATCATATATTTATAAATATATTGCCTAGCCTTATATTAAGCTTTTTTATTGCATTGTTTTTTGTAAACATTTTTGTAGATCTTAAAGGAATAGTTCACCCAAAAATGAAATTTGCTGAAGAGTAAACAGCTTACTGCAGACATCAACAACATTTATTTTTACTGATTTATTACTGTCTTCACCACCACCGTCATCATGCAGAATAAACATGATTTGTATCATCAGTGTACATATTTCTGGATTTTCTGAAGTAAAAACGTATTTGTGACTGTGGGTTTTTACCTAAATTGCTTTGTGACATTGACATGGTGCATGTTCTCTATCTTCTCAATGTCTTCTCCAGAGCACACGAACACACTGCACTGCCTGCAGCTCAGGCTGATTTTAGACGGCGGTTCCTTCATCATTCCCTTCTTCTGTTTCTTCTTTATCTTCACCTTCTCCTCCATTATGGCCTGCATCTGAAACTCTCTGGTCTACACAAAACCAAATAATGTTACTTTTAAGAGTATATGAGGTATATTGGAGTGTATTTATTGAAGTAGATTCTCACTTTCTTCTCGTAGTCGGCTCGATTCATCTTGCGCACTTTGGTGATGGCTGTGCTCATCATTTTCTCTCTGTATTCGTTAACACTCTCTCTCTCTGCCACCCCCCAGCGTGTAACTACTGTCCTCCGCTCTTCCTCGACCACGGGCCTGCAGAGAGAGAAAAACGGTACTTCTTGCATCTTCATTCAGAAACGTCAGCATGAGAATACAACCTCAAAAACCAGAATGACTTCAGTTTGTTCAGTAAGACTCTGATCGCTTTATTTGTCATGTAAGTAGTGATAGACTGATATATTAGACACCAGGCTGAATCTCCCAATATTTGGCCATTTTAAAATAGTTCAAAAGTTTGGGGCCAGTAAGAATTTTTTCTTTTTAAAGAAATGAATACTTTTATTCAGCAAGGATGCATTAAATTGATCAAAAGTGACAGTACAGACATTTATAATATTACAAATTTCAAATAAATGCTGTTCTTTTGAAACCGTTTTCATCAAGAATGTATCAGGGTTTCCACAAAAATATCTGTTTTCAACATTGATATTAATAATTAATGTTTCAGTGAGCAGAAAATCAGCATATTACTATGATTTCTGAAGAATCATGTGACACTGTAGACTGGAGAAATGATGCTGAAAATTCAGCTTTGCTTCACAGGAATAAATTATATTTTCAAATATATTGACAGAAAATGGCTATTTTAAAATGAAATAATATTTCACAATATTACTGTTTTTACTGTATTTTTGAGCAAATAAATGTAGCCTCGGTGAGCATAAGAGACTACTTTCAAACCTCCCAAACTTTTGTATTTTTTGTGAATTTGGAGTAAATGTTGGTTAAATAATGTATGAGCATCATTAAACTAAATTATTAAATGAAATGTATGATTTGCTATAATTAATTTGGATTATACCTGTATACTGTATATAAGAGCAATATATTGCCACACTCTGTATTTGCATTGGCCATTAAAAAAAATTCCTTTGATTATGGCTGTTTAAATTTGGTTTTCAGAAGTTGGTTATGAAAGTTATGAAAATGATGAACCCAGACTTTAGCTGTAGACTGCTTAAACTGAATGTTATAAACTTTTAGTTTGGTTCCTGTAACACATACATTTAAGTGCTGCAGATGTGAGATGTATGAAACCAGCCTGAGAGCCATATGGTGTCTATCTAAAGTAAATATTGATTGAAACAAATAACACAAACTACAAGCCCTTAGCAACAGGCCAAAAGAGTGTAGCATCATGATGAGCATCTTCAAAAGTGAGCAATAATCTAAAATCACCTGAATCATGGCGATCTCATTGGTCACAAGGCAATAGCGTATGACGAAATTACATTCGGCAATGTCCAAACCCTCTTCTGCTACAGTGGTGGCTATTAGCAGATTGATCTGCCCGTCACGGAACTTGTTCAGCACGTCCTTCTGCTCTGCCTGAAGATGGCAGGACATAATTTTATTGAAATTGATATTATTCCACAAATGCAACCTGGAACAATCATTTTAAATGAATGCAGAACCAGACACATTAGTTCCTGAGTTTGAGAGTGACTTACAGCAGTCATCGGTTTCACCACACTCTGATCTCCTCCACCGATCAAATAGCTGGCTCTGACTCCCACTTCATCAAACTTGGGGTTTTCTTGAATCCACTGGCAGAGAGCAATGGCGCTGAGGCGGGTCTGGGTGAATATGATGCCTCTCGCCATCTCTCTGGTGCTGAATTCCTTCAGGATGTTGGTTTTCAGCTGGGCCAGACTGTTGTTTTCATACTGCGGCTTTCCCATCAACTCCTGCAGCTTTGCTTTATTGTCTGTTGAATATTAAGAGAAACAGATACAAAGAGTAAATCAGCATTACCCAACAAGATGTTTAGCATGTCTGGACACATTTTAAAGGAATAAACAATATTTGGTAATATTTAATTAATATTTTTAAATGGCTTTTCACTTATTTTCAGTTGAATAATTTCAGTTTTCATTTTT